GCAACTAAAAATGAGGAACGTGCAGTAACAAGAAGAACTTTCAACCGTTATCGTCCTGCCGCCTCCTCCAACTCAAAGAGTACAAGACGAACAACCACTAGAGCAGACTTTGATGATGCAACAGAAGGAGTGAGTGCATCAATCATCACCCCATCCCTAAAACCCCACACTCATTCTTCCTCAATTTTCCAGATAAGCAAATCTTATCCCGAATACTCAGGCACTGAAAGAGATTCGTCAAGTAGCGATAAAGCTAGAAGAGTGTATAGACGAAGACCAGTGCGCATAAAATCTACTACTCAAAAGCAAGAAGTTGATGATGAAGACGATGAATCAGACCATGGAAGAGTGAGGCGAAATGCCGATTCAATCAAAGAGCCGCCAGCTGCGGAGCATTTAGGTATCTAGTTGAAAATGCATGGAGAAGCACTTGCAAAGATGGAAGCACATGTACATAGTGTAAAATATTAAATTGTTTCTAAAGTTGCGTGGTTTTTTTCCCAATAGGCATTGCACTTTGTCAACTGTACAGAGTCTAACATACTTTCATATTAAAAATAGCTACAGAGAAAAAATAGTTTTAGTGTTTTTTCCAGCTCTACTCCAAACAGCAATGGAGTTAATGGTACATTCAGCTGCAAGGTAGCTTAATATGGCTGTAAATATATACAAACGCTTTTACGCAACTTGTAGCTACACTTGCACCAAAGGTTTTAAGGATTTTTCATCTTATGGCACGTAGATTTGGGAACTTTTCAAAAAACAGTCACTTTGAATCTGCCTTTATGGGAATTTCAGAAGACCCCAGCTTTGACGCAACATACCAAACCATTAAAAAGGAAATTATCAATGGCGATGACACAGATAGTCTCGACTATGAATTCGGAGACAAAGCAGGCAGTGAAAGCAAAAGGGAAATTGTAACAGTCCAACCTGACAACGTAGAAGTAATCGACAAGGACTACGATAAAGATCGCAAACACGGAGGAAACTACCGCAGAGAAAGTGAAGAGGACACAGACGAAGTCTCAGAACCTGTCGATACTGCTGATGTTAAACACGATCCGGAAGCTGAAACCCCCAAAACAGATTTAAAGGATGCTGAAACAGTGAGGGATAGTAAAAAGCTGGACGTTGAAGTAGTAGATATAAACTATGATAAAGCAAAGAAGCACGGAGGCAACTACAAGGAGAGCAAAGATACCTCGAAAAATGCATCACAACTTGCAGATGAAGACGAGGAAGTTCAAAGCATAACTGATAACTATGAAAAAACCAAATTGCGAGCAGGTGGGTTCAGAAGCAGAAGTTCGCAAAATATTAACCAGAAAGACGAAACAGAACAAAAAGACACCACAACTGACAGTGTGCAGATAATAAATGAAAATTACGACAAAACAAAGAAGCATGGTGGCAACTATAAAAGCCAAAGTAACAATGAAGAAGAAGGAGAAACTGTTATTGCTGCAGACGAGACTCGTGCAGATGCTAAAATTGTTGAGGAGAAGATTCCTGTAAAGCCCGCTGACGGTAAGGTTTATTAGTAATTATTCAACTGTTATAAAATGTATCTAATATTAAATTTGAATTCGTTTGTTCAAAATAATTGATATTTTCAGCTGTAATAGACATAAAAAATTTGGATCCCGCTGCAACTAATCCGAATCCTGATAGCTACAGCAAGCCGGATGAAGAAGATTCTCCCATAGATGAGTATCAGCAAGCAGATAAGGAAATTGCGGACGAAGCTGAAGAAGGTTCAGATTTTTCAGATCCCATTGAAGAAACCGACTTCACCGATGATCCCTTTGAAGAAAACATCCACAGTCGCCGCTACTTAAAACCTGAAACCACCACTGCGGCTCCTCTGAAAATTGTTTCAAGACTGTCGGATGTGATTCCCAAGCCGGATCATTTCTACTCGGATCCTCAGCTGCCGACACAAATTAATAAACTGGGATCGGAGAAAGTGAACGTTAAACTAGCATCTGAGGAGTTGGATCAGCTGGCTGTTGAAGGCGACGTGGTCGAAGAAATCCACAGGCCGCAAAGAAGAGGTGTGGAAATTGGAGGAAGTTATTTCGACAATGACCACAATGGTGATCGAAAAGATGATGGCAAATTTGAGGAAGAAACACTAGGGTCTTCAACTGAAAAACCGCTCTTTGAAAAGGACCCTAGTAAGAGATTGTACTTCTACCTTTCAGATTGAGGACTAGAACCTAGTTTTGTAAATATGTGATATAAAATAAAGATGTTTATTGTTATTCACAGATTTGGTGTTTCATTTCAATGACTCGATTCCAGAGTTAAATGCTATTAAGTTGATGAGAATAATTTTCGTTTTTTATACCTGTGGTTTTCGTCTGTTTTCCAAATATTGCAGAGGAGGATTGCCATTAGCGGATGTTTGAGGGAAGACTACCAAAGTAAACTACGTAATAATTCAACAGGAATTACCGTCGTTGACATTGTTTGGCAAGCAAATCCAAGTCTAAGGGGTTTTCAAACTTTCCGGACGTTGTTTAACCGGCTATCTATCCCTGGAGTGTTATTCTGGGCAGAAATCCCTCATAATAAGCTCGGGATGAAGCGAATTTCGTGCATATATTAATAGGCCAAAATGAATATGTTCTATAATCTTCCAAGCTTCGATAGCAGAAAAAAAAACAACGGATGTATTGATAGATGAGGAATAAGAAGAAAAATACTAATACTGAATGAACAAATTGATTTTGGGAACAAGCTTTTAATTAATTTGGATACATTAAATAGAAATAAAAAATATAATTACTTGGAATTATGGACGTGTACCTGATCAAAAAAACCGCAGTTTCTCGTAGCATTTAATTTAAAGTTGGAAAATATGACACGCACTCAACTCAAAATGATTAGCTTTCTAACTTATTTTTTTTTTCTTGTAGTCGAAAAGTTAAATGTTTCAGCGGTTTTCTTCTTTTTAATTGACTGCTTTTATTGCGGCTTCCTTATTATTTGGGGAGTATCTTAATCATGTCATTTTTTCTTCAGACAATTTATTCATGTAATAAACCATCAGAGTGACAAAAGTAACAAAAAAACGAAACAACGTAAAGTGAGCAAATAGAAGCGAAATGCACAGAAACAAAAAATGTTGAATGTGCTTTTCAAGGTAGAAATCGACATTGATTGAATTGATTTGTTTTTGTTGTTTAAATATGGCCCGAAACTTCAATTGCTAAATAATATTTTTTTAAATCCAGAAGAATCCTTGAAAAATGAAAACTTTATACGTTTATAAAACAAATATTTATATGGGCAAATCAAATATTTCTTATTACATTTCATTGTAAACTTCGCGTTGGAAAAACACCGTGCAATCGAGCAATTCTTAATTCAAAAGAACAGCAGACGTAGTATCATCGTCTACTCAGCTTACTTTCATATTTATTTTCTCGGTCTAAAATGCCTTTATTTTTCCCATCTTGTTAAAAGTTGCTGGAGGCAACACCTACACAAAAACAAATCAATTTTTTCTGACTTTTTCTTTTATCTTGGCGAATTGTAAAATGGAGATGTAGCTAATGAAAGGAAAATCACTTGGTTCCAAGCCTCGCATAAAATAATCTGAATTAATTAATTGAAAAACAGAACAACAAAATTAGTCCAGTAAGAATGTGTAAGACATCACGATCATACAGATCAGAAGGACTAATAGGAATATGCTTCCTTCCACCTTTCTTTTGTGAGCCTTAAAGGTGGTTCACCTCCAAACAGAATTTGCATTTATTTTCCGTTGTTTGCCATCAATTTGCTTTCGAGGCGAAAGTATTTAATTTTATCCCTTAATTATTACAAAATGAAGTTCTATGCGGAGGCGACTGACATCGACAACATTGTTATTGCAAGGAGGAGTTCAGTGAACGTTTTGTTTACGCCGATTAAAACCATTAAAAATATGGAAATTATTGCTTAATTTTAATTAAGAAGAAAATTAGTTTCAATTTGATAATGCGAATTAAAATTCTGGGGACTTAATCAGGAGGTAAAATATATATTTTACTTACAAAAATTGAATGTATTGTTAGATATGTATGTTCAGTAGACAATTTGGACTTAATATTAATAGCAACGCAAATTAAAATAACTGTGCTGATTAGTTTCAGTTCTAGCATTAAACTGAAAAAAAATTGAGTTACTGCAAAATGCAGATTTACAAACAATGCAGATCAACAGCAATTGAACTACAATATTTTTTAGGGAATATGTACATTCTCGTGCGTGAATAATCTAATAGACCGATGAATATAAACTGATATGCAATTTTTTATAGAGAACATTTTTCAATGCTGAAAAAATGTGTTTAAATATTTTCTTATTACCATAATTTATTCAAAACATTTTCTAAACATTACTTCTTCGGTGAAGTGGGAAGGAACATCATACACTGTTTATACATTTAAAACCGATTTTAAAACCGTTTCCTAAATAGATTTATTTTCCTCGCAGGCCCATTTTCCTTCTTTGTATCAGGATATTTGCAAAATAATCGTTATGTTTTGGCAGTAAAGCTTGCCACTGAAGTTAAAAAAAAACGTCTTTTAAAAATACAAGATAGAATTTCCTGGCCCTGCCAGAAAGAAGAGTCTGAGTAAAAACCGAATATTTAGCTGAAGAGCCACGCAAAAAGTAATTGTGTTAAGAAATTAGTAACTAATTAGGTAAGGTTCAGCCCAATCATGTATTTTTATTCAATTTATCAGGTTTATGTCTGCAAAGGCAACGCTTTTATGGAATTGCCTTTCCCAGCGGGTTTACCCTCTGACAAAAAGAGAAAAGTTTTGGGTATAAATAATGTAAGAGACGTTTTTCATCAATATGGAGTACACAGGAAGTAGCTTAATCAGCTAATGTAAAAATTGAAACTGCCCTAATTACTAAATCTTGGTTGCCAGATATCAACGTTTTCCTTTTTGGAAAAATACAGAAATAAATGTACAATGTAACTTCTAATTGTTTAGAGACAACAAAATGTAAGATAAACCGGAATAATGGCAACTTTACCCCAATGGAAGCGACTACCGTCGCTACACCCCAACATTTTCGATCCCAGATGGGGATTGGAATACGACTTTTCCCCAGGATCCACCTCCAAGTCAATAACCAAAGCAAACGGCACCAAATGGCCAACGGTTCAAAGGCAAATGGTTGTACCGAAACAGAGTATAGAGGACAAAGTCACATCGAGTAAGTATTTTATCTATTTTTGTGTTTAAGTAGTGTTTTTAATATCAATATTATCCACAAACTTACTAGAGGCGAAAGTTACATTATAGACATATACTGAAGACGTGTTTGGACAATGCATATAGATAATGAAGGCTTTTATGCGATTTCAGTTTTTTTTTAAATGAAAAAATCGAGCAAAAAATCGCTCAAAACGGTTACATTTTCAAGTACCGCAATTTGGGCCAGGAATCGAACTATTTTCCATAAGAGCACATTGAAATAATTACATAATGTAAAAGTTAACTTAAAGTACCAATGAAACGCCGCAAAACTTCCATTTTTGGTGTTATTTCGTTTTCAAACTCCCTAACTAGAAAAATATTAGTTTTTAAAAATTTAATTTATAAGACCTTTATGATGAGCGCCATTGTTTCAATTAAATTTGCATGGTGTTTTGTAAAATTTTAACGAAGTATTGGAAGAGAAATTTGCGAAAGTTATTCCAAATAGCAATAAATAAAAAAAGTCAGTTTCAAAAAATCAATTTTGTCACGGCTTGTTCATATAAATTATGTCGATCATCAAATGTTAGATCGAATGATTGTATTATTTAAATGCATATTAAAATTTTGTGAGTTATTAAATGAACATTAACTGATAATTAAAAAAGCATGGAACTCTTAGCCGAGAAAACTTTCAACAGATCAGCTCAGTTTATTCAGCCCTGATAAACAATTAAAGCTTTGAAGAATCCCCCAATTTAAGGAAGTAAATTTCTGCAACTTTGCTTCAAATTAAGAACGTGTTTTAACCGTTCTGGTCCGGATTGTAGAGCATCTTTATTTCTTCCACCGTTTACGTTCTTCGATATTTCCGCGTGCAACGTGAGGTTTTACTTGAATCAAACCCCTTAAAGGAACAGTCAGCAACCCTGCTTTTATTTGTGCCCTTTAAACTTTCCCTGAAATCGAAAGTTTCGATATATTTCACAACCTTTTCAAATGTTTTTCCTCCCAAAAGTTATTGATTGGCTTCCATTATTTCCCACGCATATTATTTTGCATCATCAAGTCCGCTGAATTGCTTGGCAGAAAAAAGACCTCATTATTTCCGCTTATTCTTTGTCAGTCGACATAATAAGCTGTCAACAGCAACTGTGTGGGATTTAGCATATATAAGAGATTCCTAAACAATTTATCCGAAAATATATCCGCTCATGTAATCATTACAGAATGATGACAAATTGAAGTATTTTTCAGATGTCCTGAAGCCATATCTTCTGGCTGCCGCAGCAGCCACGGGGCTTTTACTTGCTTTGGTGGTTTTGGTCTATGTGATGACCAGAAGAAGAAGAAAGAAGAAAACCGATGAGGAACAATCTTCGCAAAGTATCTTGGTGTTTCCTTCCACTAATGGAGATAGTCAGCCCCAGTTCGTGTAAGCACCGCAGAGTTTTTGAGAACGATCAATCACTGAATCCGCTTAAGAGAACAAACGTATTAAGCGATTAGTGGAAACTGTGGAAATAACATATAGGAAATATATCCAGAGAAAACTTCCGAGCACTCTCTTTCGCAGCTTGGCAGTTCAGACTCGTTTATTACGTGCCTGCCGGGAGTTCCTCGTTAATAAAGTTAGACTGGCCTTTCTTACAGTTTAACAACATTATCCGGAGCACTTGGATTGAATATCGAAACAAAAAAGATTTTTCATAATGGCGATGAAGGTCTAAGCGCTGTTCTATTGGAGAATGTACAGGCTAATCAATGAACTTATCCTTTATTCAACTGGACAAATTGCGTTGCGGTTTAAATTTTTTTTTCTGTTAACTTTGCTGTAATTTTCTCAACTTCATGTTTTTGTCCCGCATTATTGAATTTATTTTCATTTTGGAACTGAAAAATGTGATTTCTGAAATAAGGGAATTTTGAGTTTTTAAAAAATTTGTGCTTCAAAAACGTAAATAAAGGGAGGCATTAGATTACGGACGTTTTAACAGTGGGGTTAATCTTTAAGCAAAACAATTACGTTTAGAGTAAATGATCTATTTAAAGGTATATTTTCGCTTTATTTTATCACTTTACCAATCTTTGCAAAATTGTATTGTTTTATTCAAATATATTATTATTCCACTGCAAACTCTTTCAGCTTCCATTTGAAATCCCATCAAACATGTCGCTTTGTTGGCAGAGGCTGATTTGTATAAGCAAATGCTCAAAAAAGGTTCAAAATATCTCCCCAGAGTAATCTTCATGGCTCTTTTGTGCTGAGATTTGTGCTGAGAATACATTGTATTTTTCGGGCTGAAATGGACGGCACTAAAAAGACATTTTGCTTCTATTCTTGTTCAGATTATTCTTATAATAGGACAAGCGAATGTCCATAATTAAAACTAGCGCGAATCATTAATCCTGAATCAATAGATTCGGGCTATAAAATAACCAAATTAAGATAATTACGGTTAGCGTTCAAGGCGAAACTGATTACGTGGAAACTATAATGTTAATTAGCTTTGGCAAATAGGGTCATATATTTAAGCTTCCATTGATGCCCAATTAAAACGACGCCTATCCATTAAAAGCATGTATCAAATTACGGAGGTTTAGCTTGGTTGATTTTGCGAACTTAAACATACAAAGTAATAAAGTAGTTTAATCGAATTGGCTAATTGTGCTAATGTTGTGTCGATCTGACTGTTCAATGACTAATTGAAGCTTCAGCAAAATAAGTTAAAATGTATATTTTTTAGCACCAAAGAGATTCACTTTAGCCTGCCTCCACTACGCAGCAACTCATTGGGAGATCTAGAGTGTCAACAGGATAATCCTTACGACTCAGATGTGGATTCTGATGCTTTATTAGTTCCAGGACAGCCTCATAGTCATCGAAGTAACTCTTTCAGTAAGTGAGAAGAGACACACAATTATGATAAACATGAGACAAAATCGGCAATAAAATGGCGCAAACCACGCAAAGCAACACCAAAAAACACGAGAATTTATTTGATCAGTTTGCTGCAAATATTTAATTATATTTGATATTTGTTAGCCAACTTTGTATGTACAGCGAGTACAACAATTTCGTTTCGAGGCTTCAGCATAACCCGAGGCTTCAGCAGATGTTATATAATATTAAATGGATCGTTTCAAGGAGTTTTATTGATCGTTTCACTTTTTCCATCGTCCTTTTCATATCATTTTCAGTATATTGCGTGATCAAACCACGTTAATCAAGGGCTTAATGTAAGATGTTCATCGAGTAACAAAAACTGCAAATTTCCAACTTTATAAAATAGTTTATTGTGCGACTTTTCAGATTAAGCTCGACGCGTAAGCCCTGGAAGCGGGCTGGGCAACTTTATCATTTTACTAGGATAAAATCGACTTTAGTCAATTTTGAATTTAGCCATTTGAAAGGACGAGGCATTTATCTGCGGAATATCGAGAAACGGGAATATTTGAATACCAAATTGAACATTTTTTCTTCTTTTGGTTGCGGAGTTTATATGCAGGCGAAGTTTTACATTTCAATGACTCAACGAAGATATGGATACTAAGAGAATAAGGAAGCAATGAAAGTTTTCACTACCATGATCCACAATATATAAATTTTCTGA